GGCCAATTTCTCTCAAATAATGCAAGTAGCAAAAGTTGCTGAAAACACTGCTCTGTATAGCAACAAAAATCCAACTACTGGTAATGGACAATTTATAGCTCAGAAGAAGACGGTGGTTTGTGAGTTTTGTAACTACAAAAGACACACCAAGGAAAATTGTTTCAAGCTAATATGATACCCTCAAGACTTGAAGTCTAACTTTAAGAGAAAGAAGAAATGGGGCAACTCTGGTGCATATGCCAATCATGTCAACACTACTCCTAACTACAACCCTGCTATGCAAAACACTCAGATGCAGTTTGGAGGTTTACAAGGCAGAGCAGAAGGAATAACATGTGGGCTGCAACAAATGCAAGTGCCTTCATCAACTGGATTTCAGCATATGCCTCAGCAAATGCAGATGCCTTCACAAATTGGATTTCATCACATGCCTCAGCAACAAGAACCAACTCCGACTCCAACTCCTTTCTTTACTCATGAGCAATATCAACAAATAGTTCAGCTGCTTAACAAGGGGGTAGATGAAGTTCCTTCTGCCAGAGCTGCAATAACAGGTAGACTGATAACTCTATTATCTAATCATGCTAATAACAACTGGATAATAGATTCTGGAGCTTCATATCTTATGACATCCACACTAGAGATGTTAAATTCCTATCAGTCAGTTCCATCTCAAAAGGGAAGTAAGGTTCACTTGCCTACATGAAATGTTGCATCTTTTCACATATAGGAAAAGCAAGTGTGTTTAACTATCAGGATATCAGTAATGTGCTATACATACAAGAGTTTAAATACAACATGTTGTCTGTGTCTAAACGGACCAAGGAGTTGTAGTGTCTTGTGGTATTTTTTCCTAACTTCTGTATCTTCCAGGATCTTTACAGTGGTAAGGTGAAGGTGATTGGTAAGAAGGATCGGGGACTGTACCTACTACAAGGCAAGTCATTACTAAGTGGTATACTACAATATGATCCAACTCAACTAAGGAATAAAACTCCTCAACAAGTATCTGAGGTGAAGTTTGTAAATAAAACTACTAAATCTGGGAATAAGTTTGCTTGTATGGTTAATGAATGTTCTAATTCTAGTATAATCTGGCATAGAAGGCTAGGTCATGCACCTCTAGATGTAATCAAGAAGTACACATCACTGAGTAACCTGAAAACACCAATCACACTCACTGCATTGTATGACCTTTAGCCAAGCAAACAAAGTTACCTTACAAACTGAGCACTACTACTTCTAATGTTGCTTTTGAACTGCTACATTGTGATGTATGGGGGACCTATAAGGTACCAACATATGATAGTAAAAGATTCTTTGTTACTATAATGGATGATTACTCTAGGTTTACATAGATATTTTTGCTTGTCTCTAAGTCATATACAGTGGTTTTTCTAAAAGATTTCCTAACAAAGGTGAAGAATATGTTATCTATATCAGTTAAGACTCTTAGAACTGATAATGGAGGTGAATTCTTAATCATGAAGTACACAATCTCTTGTCATCCATAGGCATTATTCATCAATGTACCTACACCTACAGTCCTCAACAAAATGGAGTTGCTGAGAGGGACATAGGACAATTTTAGAGATGGCCAGAGCTCTGAGATTTTAGGCTGCTATCCCTTTAAAATTCTGGGGAGAATATGTGTCTACTGCTATTTATTTGATCAACAGACTTCCCTCAAGAGTCATTGGTGGAAAATCACCTTTTGAGATACTTTATTTGCATGATCCATCCCTCTCACATCTCAAAGTATTTGGTTGCTTGTGCTTTGTAACCTCATCCAAGGAATTGGACAAGTTTGCTTCAAGAGCAGTACCTAGAGCTTTTCTGGGCTATTCTTCAAATCAGAAGGGCTACAAGATCTATGACTTTCACTCAAAATCCTTTATTGTGAGTAGAAATGTGGTATTTCAAGAAAATATTTTTCCTTTTAAACATCTACAAATCATTGGCACTCCCATGTTTCCTGTTCTAGATCTTCTTCCTTCTACCACAGAAATGCAGCATATGCCTGAGCCTCATGGTACTCCTTTGTCTCCTGATCCATCTCAGAGTCCAACTATGGACACATTCACAGCTTCTCCTTCATATGCACAACAACATTCAGAGGAACTTCTTCTTTAGGTTGCTCTCCTTCTATGAACCTTAGAAGGTCATCAAGACCTAGCAAACCACCCTTGTGGCTACAAGATTATGTGACCAAACCAGTCACCTCTCATACCTGTAAATACCCTATTTCCTCATGTGTGTCTTATGACACTCTCAAACCAGCTCACATACATGTTCTCTCATCCTACTCTTACCTCACAAAACCAAAATCCTTAAGAGAAGCAGCTACAAATCCCAAGTGGATTGAAGCTATGAAACTTGAAATAGCTTCTCTAGAAGATAACCACACATGGAGTATTGCGGATCTTCCTGCAGGAAAAATACCTATTGGGTACAAATGGATTTTCAAGATAAAGTTTAAGGCTTCAGGGGAAGTTGAGAGGTACAAGGCCAGACTGGTAGCCAAAGGCTATAACCAGAAGGCTGTAACAGGTGTAGAAAGTTCAGAAGCAACAAATGCAACACTTAAGGATCCAAGCATCTATCAAAGGCTTGTAGGGAGGCTACTTTACTTGAATATGACCAGACCAGACCTAGCCTTTGTGGTTCAAGTCTTAAGTCAATACATGCGCAATCCTAAGGTGTCTCACATGGAAGCAGCCTTAAGAGTTGTAAGGTACATAAAAAGAGCTCCTGGGCTAGGACTCTTTATGCCAGTACATAATACTAATCAATTGTCTACATACTGTGACTCTGACTGGGGTTCCTGCTTACAAATTATGAGGCCAGTCACAGGTTATTTAGTAAAGTTTGGTGATGCATTGATCTTATGGAAATCAAAGAAACAGGCGACTGTGTCCAGAAGTTCTGCCGAAGCTGAGTTCAGAAGTATGGCATCATGCACTGCTGAGATAGTTTGGCTAATTGGGTTGTTCAAGGAACTTGGAATTCAGCTAAACTCACTTGTGTAGCTTATGTGTGATAGCAAAACTGCAATTCAAATTGCCGCCAATCCCATCTTCCATGAAAGAACCAAACACATTGATATAGACTGTCATTTTGTTCGAGAAAGAATACTGCAAAGCATAATGAAAACCCAGCATGTATCCACCAAGGAATATCTAGCAGACTTACTCACAAAGAACTTGGGAAAGACTCAGCATGACTATCTACTAGACAAGCTTGGAGTGAAGAACCTCTTCAAGCCTTCAGCTTGAGGGGGAGAGTTAAAAGAAGTAGAACTATTAAACTACATTTAGTTTAAGTGGTTAAGAGTAGAGTTAGCTAATCTTATTAGTTAAACAGTTAGAAAGGTTGTTAGGAGGTTAATAACTAATTTGTAGTATAAATACACTGTAGATACTAAAATGTAGAGACAATTCATTTTCTTCAACTTCAATAAAATAGTAATTCTGTTTCTCTAAATTCTTTCTTAGCTTCTTCTCCAAGTCGAGCTTTCAGCCAGGGCCGGCTCAACCATAAGGCAACTAAAGCAATGGCTTGGGAACCCAACTTTTTGGGCCCCCCACTTTTTTCCCTAAAGTTATATGTTATACTCCCTCTGTTTCAATTTATGTGAACCCATTTGACCAGGCACAAAGTTTAAGAAAAGATAGAAGAATTTTGAACTTGTAGTGTAAAATGAGGCACATATAATTTGTGTGGTCATAAATCATTGCATAAAGGTAAATATTTTCCAAATAAGGAAATATGTCATTCTTTTTGGCACGTACTAAAAAGAAAATATATTCAAATAAATTAAAACGGAAGGAGTATATTATAAAAATAATTCGTGCATATACTATTGGAAGCTAAATATTTGGAAGAAAGTAACTTTTTACCTTTTATGTGGGGACCGTTGGTGTCTAATTTCTTGCCTAATTATATCCTACCACTTAACATGGGCCACATGACTATTCCTATATTTTTATCTTTTTCATTGTCTCTTTCACTTATTCTTACTCTCTTCTTATTAGCTATTCCTATATTCCATTCCAGAAAACTTACCGTTGTGTGCTCACAAAAAATCAAAGTTTGCTTTTAGGTGCCTTTTTCAAAATTTCAAGCATTGCAACAAGACAAAAGCAATCGTTATTTTGAAGTAGTGCAATACTATTTCGATACCGTTATATCAACTTATCAAATTCTTGAGCCATGTTTTATTATTCTAACTTTATATTATATTTTTTCATTGAAAATTTGTCATTATTGATATTCTTACTTCCAAAGTATATATTCTTGTTTTAGTTATTATTAGATTTTATTCAATTTAAATATGTCAACTAAAAAATATGAATTCGGTTATGCAAAAAGAGAAAAAAAATATGTGAAGAATTAATTAAATCCCAAAAGGGAGCAGCCCTTGATAGATTTTTAAAAAATAATTAAAATCTTGAATCAGAAAACATATGAGGATGTTCTTTAAATGAACCAGTCACTCTTAGAGTTGAGTTAGATGATAATAACATCCAAGAAGAAAATCTAGAATAAATTACTACGAAATCTGACATAGTTCGAGAAAATCAAGAATTCTTAAACGATTTGAATAACTGCATCTCTAAAAATATATACGATCCAAGTCAATGGAATATGGTAGATACAAAGTTGAGAGATCTATTAGTAGAAAATGGGCCAATTAGAATAATTGTTGCCTTAGCCGAAAGAAGTTTTTCAAAACTAAAATTAATAAAATCTTATCTAAGATCAACAATGTCTCCAGAGAGATTGAATGGATTAGCTATATTATGGATTGAAAATGAATTATTAGAACAAATCGATTATAAGATAATAATTAATGATTTTGCATCTAAAAAAGTTAGAAAAACAGTTTTAAATTAAAATATATATGACGATCTCTTCTTTTTTTTTTAAATTAGGACTGAAGTTTGGCATTAGGCCCCCAATCTTGTCGAGCCGGCCATGCTTTCCACTAAGAGCTTCCGTAGCCATGGAAGCTAACTAACAGAGTTAATATGAGCCCTTCTCTCGAATGATGAGGAGATAATTTAATTAACATGTGAAAATACTTACTGGGTTTTCAACAATATGTCCTCAGAGCATAGCATTCCATCTGAAGACATTAACAATCGCACTTTGGCTATCCCACACTTATGGTCCATCCTTTGAGGCTTGATGACCTTTGCATTGATATTGCTTGTCTGGTTTTACAGTCAACACCAGCCAGTATCACCAGATCAGAAGACTTTTTTGGTGCCAGAGCAAACTGGCTAGGGATCTTACAGCCTGCTTTGGCTTCTAAGTCTTTCATGCCCCAAAATGAAGAAAAAAAGAAGGTATTCTTTGTCTTGAAATGTGATTGTTGTTGGTTATCATTGTGAGAATTAACCTACACCTTGTAAAAAACTAGTATATAAAACAGAAAAACAATCTTGAGTTTGGATTGAAAAATACAGTTCCAACTTCTAAATGTTGGAACCATTTTCACACTTTAATTTTATCCATCAAGAAAAGGGAGATTTTTAAGGGGTAGTCTTAGAAAACTTGAGGCGTAGTTAATTGGTAATTGATGGTCCAAGAATCTTTGAAACTAGCTAATCAATTGCATCTATTACATGTCTCTCAGTCTGCTTATGGACCAAATCCCATCTTTTAATTCAGCAAACAAAGGAAAGTATTATCCTGTTAATTTCACAAAAAACAAGAAGTTTTTCAAGATTCATTGTAATAACAAATCACTAGAACTCACTGCAAATATCTAGTGAAGTTTCCGTTGAAACGTAGAAAACTAGTAACCTTTAAATTTCCATGTGATGCAGAATTGCCCTATTGAGATCAAAGACCATGAAAATAAAATCACTGTTAAAGTGTGCTTGCAACACTTGATATTAAGAAAACACAAAATTCTCCAGTACTTGCACCATTTGGTTTATGTGTACATAAATCTCAAAACTATTCGTAGCAGTAATAATGTGATATTCGTACATAACATCTCCCAAATTCTTATTTTCCAACAAAACAAAAAAAAATGAACGAGATTAGAAAAGAATTTCCCAGTTTCCCAGACTAGAACTTTGCAGGGTTGGCTCCAATAAGGCATCTTTAGTAGTGCAGTTTTCAGAACTAGTGCAGTAAAACTTGCTCAAAAAGTATCTGAAGCTGTGACTGCAAATCAAGCAACAGAAATTCAAGTATGGAACTTCAGTTTGCTCTATGGTAAAATGAACAACTTAATAAACTAACTCTCATTTTTCGGCAGGACTTATTTACGAAATCAACACTGGAGACAGTATTAAAGATTTTACTTGGTGTGGATCTTGACACTACAAGCGAAGAAGGCACCCTATTTTCCATTTCTTTCGATGAAGCTAGTGCATTAACTTGTTATCGCTACGTTGACACGTTTTGGAAAGTGAAAAGATTTCTAAACGTTGGGTCAGAAGCCAATTTGAAGAAGTGTATTAAAGTGGTTGCTGAATTTGTTTACAAAATTATCAGCAGCAAGACTGAACAGATGAACAAATCGCAAGATGACAGGGTGGTAAGTTCAGGCAAATAACTGTCTTAACTTTTTTCCCTACATCAAAAGCACCAGATGGTATTTGAATTTTCTTGAATGGCAGATGAGCAAATCAGATATTCTATCTAGGTTTCTGGAAATGAACGAAAGGGATCCAAAGTATCTTAAGGACATAATCCTTAGTTTTATAATTGCTGGCAAAGACACTCCAGCTAGCACACTTTCTTGCTTTTTCTATATGATGTGCAAGTACCCTTTCCTACAAGAAAAAATTGCAGAGGAAGTCAAGAAATCAACCTTGGGCTATGGGCAGGATGAAATTTATATGGGGTGATGATGCAGAGGATTTCCGGCCAGAGAGATGGTTTGATGAAAATGGTTGCTTTCGGCGAGAAAGTGCCTTTAAGTTCACAGCCTTTCAGGTAACACAGAACCTTACAATCTGATAATCATTAGTTAACGACTATAATAAAAACTTCTAGGAGCTTGGCTTCATTAAACCGAATTAGTTTTTCCTGTCCAGCCTTGATAAAGAACCAATCTAATCGCTAAGGTTTACAGCCTTAAAAGATTATGATTGATGAATGGTAAAATTTTGTGATAAACTTATCCAAAGATTTTAATGGAAAAAGGTAATCTACGGATCTAACTCATGTAATGAATGGCTAACCTGTTTGGAAACGCCTGTTGCTTAATAAAATTGTTTAATCATCAACCAACAGTCCCTACTTTTCTCGCCACCTCTCGGTGGTGGGATGGGATGTGGAAGTATCTGGCATCCAATTGAGGTAGGCCCAAGATCTATTTTCTTATCATAGTATTAAAGTCAGGTCTGTCTCAATGCTTGATTTATCGAATGTTGGGCCCCCATATCATAAGCCAAGGTCCATTTCTTATCAGTAATAATATTGAGATAGACAATTGAACCAAACTGAGACACTGCTAGATGCAACTCAAACTGAAGGGCTTATTTATTTACTTGTTGCTACAGTTGCATCCCAAAGAATTAACAGTACTAGAGATCCTTCACATTGGGTGCCCAATTTTCGAACTTAACCATCTTTCTGTGCTACAAGTAACGTCACATAAAAGGCTTTTATTATTTAAGCTCCTTATGTTCAGATTATAACTGTTACATTCTAGTGTTATCAATAAGCGCAGCTACCAAGATTAGTTACTTTCGCTTCTTAGCACATTTCCTTTCTCTGTTCCGTGTGTGTTACCCATTATTATCATTATAATAATCTTTTTATGGTATTTCCCAGCTTATTTCAAACAACTATATGGTGCTATTGCTATAAAATTGCTCCAAAGTAAAGTGGTAGGTTAATAATATATGTGCAGGCGGGGCCAAGAATCTGTTTAGGAAAGGAATTTGCTTACAGACAAATGAAGATCTTTTCAGCACTTCTGCTGGGAACCTTCAGGTTTGAAAAGAGTGAAATACAGAACCATGCTCACACTTCATATTGACGGGGGCCTCCGGAGAAAATAGCAACTTAATTGACATAGATGGCATTGTATTTATTCTACTATTATCTCTCTGTTGCAAAATAAATTGTAGAAGAAGAACATACATAGAAAATAAATCCCATCTATGGAAATCTAAAAAATATCCATATTTCTGAATTGAGTTTACTGGATTTGAGCCTTTTTTCCTAGTTGATAAATGGTAATAAAGCACAATTATTCTTCAAAATCCCAGTGGGAGATTGTAACTTTAACATGCTTTAGATTTTGTAGTTACGAAATAAAGGTTTGAACACAACGGTACGTAATAATTTGAGTTCATAAACGAACTACAATAATTGGATAATTAGATGTTAACGCCGACGTTGAAGTTCTCACTTGGTTAAAAAGAACAAAAAATATGAGCACTGGAATCTAGTACACGTGCCTTTTTTTCTTCTTTTAAACCATTGGAACTGTATATTTCTAAGAACAATCTTAGAAATATGCGGACTATATATTTATCACGACTGCGAAGTGCGAACTGTCGCACGACTTCGTTCGTTTCTTAATGAACCACTTTGCACAGTGTTTATGCGAACTATTATATATTTATCTATACTCTTTACTTTGCATCAAACCAAATAATTTTATCTTGAGTTTCACAAATAAAATTGAAAATACATACTCCCTCTATTTTAATTTATGAGGCAATATTCCTTTAGTCCATTTCAAAAAAGTGATAACTTTTTAAACTTACTATTTTATCCTTAATGAGTAGCTTTTGTAGCCACACAAATATCTATGGCTTATTTAGACCATAAATTTAATTTCAAAGTCTTATATTCTTTCTAAAACTCTGTTTAATTCAAACTTTGTTACATAAAATATAACGATAGGAATATTACTTAATCACAATAAAAGTTTATGTTCAAGATATATGTTGTTGCATTCATTTGTTAGATAGAAATCATGTTTTCATAATAAATATTTGTGCTATTTCTATGTTTTGAAGATTTAAAAGAAAGAAAAAGGATATTGACACGAGAAACTGCGCGCGTCCCTGTCATGAACTTGTCATCAATTGGTTTCCTTTTCACTTTTTGAATGGGAAAATGTGTTGGAGATAATTATCAAGTTGTCTTCTTCCTAGTACATGATTGATCGCTATAATGTAAAGGAACAGCCGGTGTGACTTCCCAAGAATTCATGTTTTTTTTAGAGAATGTCTGTTTAGAATTTACACCGTACACCGCAGACAAAATAAAATGAGGACAGCTCCAAAGAATTCATGTTTTTTTAGCCTTTCCTTTAATTCTTTTTTAGCTTACCCTTAACATATAGGGTAACGTATTGCTTAACATAAAAATAAATTTTGAGTTTGATTCAACTGATCTAAAAAGTAGTTCATAAGATGAAATTATCAAAAACTATATAAAAAAACCAAGTTCCCATCCCACAACTGATATGAAACAAACTCGACACAGTTTGTGTTTACGCTACTGGCCTCAAAGGTTTATTTTCTTATATGCTTAATGAACGTTTTGTGCATAATCTAATTTGAGACACTAATAAGCTCCATCTTCAAATGGGAGTTGTGACTTGTGCCTGCAATCACATACTTCTCCTCAAATAGTTTTTTTTTCTCCAGTTCCAATATAAACTAAAAGATATAGTTTTATTTCTCCAGTTCAAATATAAACTAAAAGATACCCCCTCAATCCCGTTTTATGAGCATCTAATTTGTGATATAAAAAAAGTATAAATTTTTCAAAATAAAATATACACATTTAAAAATTACGTGAAAATACTATCAGTTAGAATAATTAATGAATAATTTAAAATTATTAAAAAGAGTATGAAAATATTATTATAAATTGTTTTTCGACTCCCTGAATATTAATAATTAAACATAAAAAGGGATAGAGGGAGTATAATGAAAAGACACGGCGTTTTGGTTAGTCCGCCGTACCATACCAGGCCAAGCTGCATATGAAAGGGTACTAGAATTAGCAACTTCAACACTTTATTGTGCATTTATCACTTCCTTGTTTCTACTTTATAAGTCTACACTGAGACAAGAATTAGGCACAAGATATAAGCCCACATGGGATCAGCAGAAAGTGCTAAATTAAAGTGGACCATTATATCATGTGGCTACTTAACTTGCCCATTTGAATTCCAAAAGGGATCAAAATGAAGACCAACTGATGAAATCAAAGGGATTGCCCTTGATTCAATTATCTTGATCCTCACACTATAAGCATTCACCATTCCCTTTTCTAGCCTGTGAAGCTTCTTGTATCCTATTGTGGTTCCATTTGCAATTTTAATCCCATCTACATAAATTTCATGCCCTTTGATCCTTTGGCCTAGCCCTATTGCTTCTTGAATTCTTAACACATTAAATCTCAATGGTTTGTCCTTCGCTTTGAACTCAATCCAATGGTCATCTTTATCTTCATCTCTTGGAGCCCAATATGTCCACAAATGGTCATTGTCTAGCACGTTTTCGGGTCCAAAACCTCCATTTTTACCACCTCTCTGACTACTTGCTTTAATCGAACACTTGTTGGCCAAATTGGTGGAGAATATTGTGTCAATTGCACTTCTAAATTCTTTGAGCCTTTGCACGTCACTGTCAGATATTAATCCTTGTGTATTAGGAGGCACATTAAGTAGCAATACGCAATTTCTTCCAACGGACTTGTAATAGATTTCGAGCAAATCGCTAAGGTTCTTTGGTGCTTGTGATTTATGCCAAAACCATCCTTTTCGAATGGATACATCGCATTCTGGTGGTAGCCAATCTGTCCCTTTTGGATCTCCACTGTTGAGATAACTGCATTTTGTTTAGCAAAGAAAGCATTTAGCACTATATTTTATAAATTATAATCTTTGATATCACTCAATTTTTGTAAAAGGAATCTTTCCCATTAGTACTATATTTCCTCAGCTTTTTTAATGACTAATAATTTTCCATTTGTACTCTATGAAAATGTCCCACCAAATGACTGGACGTAACAGCCACAATCGAATAATTGACATGTATCTTCTTGTTTTCTTCATACAAAGGGTAATTGACGTATATTGTTTTCCAGTGACGTCTTTTCCTCTAACCAAAAATCAGTTTTCAATATTAATGATACAGCTAGCACAAACTATATTAAGGAAAATAATTGTATTTAGGTTAGGAAAAAATAGTTTACGTACTCGGCGTTGCTATTGCCAATAGACAGTAATGTTCGATTAATGGTGGACCAACTTGTGCTTCCGGCGAATCCGTCCTCATTTCCGACCCATCGGATGCCCGGGCCGGCATCGGAAAATATGTTGATTGTGCTTTGCAACTCCCTCACCATTGCGAACCAATCATCGAAGTAGTAAGTCATGTTTGGTGCGTTCGAACCCTTTGCTCCATCAAACCAAATCTCTTTAACATCTCCATATCTTTGAACAATTAAAAAGAAAATTATTAGCTCCATTATTCTTTTTTTTAAGCAGCAGGTAATTAACCCTATATAAAGAGTGAAACTAGTAACCTAAAAAATTAGACGTGTTATCTGGTATAACATATTAAAATATACTGATAGTATGCAAAATTCTTTATTAATAGCATGTCAATGTATATATAGGTTAACTCTTTTTTTGAAAGGGACTTCCTTATCATAAAACTATCATTGAATGCTAACTAAGGGTATCTCCAACCTTTACTCCCATTTTGGGTATCATTGAATGCTAACTAAGGGTATCTCCAACCTTAACTCCCATTTTGGTCCCCAAAATGGGGATTTCCCTATTTTGGGGACAACTTACTCCAACCATCCCCATTTTTCCCCAAAAAGAGAATATTCATTTTTATATTGTTCTCTCTCTTCTATATTATATTATTATCTTTCATTTCAATTTGATTTTTTAAATTTTCATTAAACAAATTCCATCTTTTATTTTCATTAATTTGTAATTTTCATTAAAACAATTCCATAAAATTTTAAATAATATAATTTGTAAGCAATTATTATAGATTAACTAATAATTTAAATAAAAGTGAAATAATTGCGATACAAGATTAATTAAATACATATTACATAACGATAAAATTCATTTAAAATACTACATAACACATAATAAAATTAACTACCAATTTTACATAAAAAAAAAATAGATGCACGATAATTAATTTTTCAAAATTATACGTCAAAGTTAAGATGAAAAATTAATTAGGTAAATATATTATATAAACATAATTAAGTATATATAAACAGTTAAATTAAAAGATTAAATAATAAAAATAATAATATTTTAATGGAC